TCATTGGTGATAGAAAGAGTTGATTGGTGCCCCGTGTCCACCCTACTCCTCCAATTGGGTTAACCTACAGATCAAGTTCCATAAGGCCAATAAGATACGAGTAACAAGTCCCCAGGTGGTGAAAAAGCTGCTATTTGTTCAAGCTGAGGTCTTTTTCTCCTATCATTTTGGTTAGGCAAAGTTCAAGACCAAGGTCTCCTTTTTATCCCGGTTAGCAATAAGACCGAATGGTCTCTAGTATATGCTAAGCTCCAATCCTTTGGTTACAGTTGAGAATGTATTTCCCCAGAAGTTGTTGAAGGATATTGCAATTGTTGAGAATCCCCACTGCTCTTCTGGTACCTTTCTACCATTGTAAAGCAAAAATATCTTTGGGGAAAGACTATTTTGGGCAATAGAATATATACACTAGTAAAATTCTTTTAACTAGATGTGGCTGCTAGAAGGTATCATACAGAAACAATATAATCTAGTCTCTACTAGGCCATATAAGAACCTGTGGTCCATAATAAGTCACCTTTCCATCATAGGTGAATAAAAAATCACTACCCAAAGAAGGTTGGGACCAAGTGTATCCTGGAAGTAAAGGCTCTCACTAGGTGATAAGTCTCCTCAAATGATATACAAGAAGGAAATCAAGATCAAGAATGGATAAGTTCCTTAGATGGTCAGGAAAAGAAAGGATATTCCAATCAGGCATTTCTTATTGAGAAGAGGTTTTGAGAAGCAGGTCTTTAGAAGAAGATGGAAATAATTTTTTTTTCATTTTTTACTCTTTCATTTTCTTGTGGTCTACTTAGACATTTTTAGATATCCTCTTCCCCTTTTTTTAACCTATCCTTTTGTAGTTTTCTGTAATCCAGTGGCTTGATATGACATATGGCAGTGACAACCTGCTGGCAATAATGCAGTGAACTAGAAGAATCTTTATCCAAAGACACTGTGGAGCAAAATATTGTCCCCAAGGTCAAACTTAAAGGCTTTTATACTTATAATAAGTTTGTTAGATTAGAAAAATAGTTTAGCTGTAGTATGTATTATGCTGCTCGAATAAAAATATACTTATGTTTTCAATTGATTAATAAACTCACAATTTAGTCTGACTACGGATATACAAAAAAAAAATATATTTTAATCTGCATCAGATCAATATGACTTGTCTTTATTATATAAATATATAATATCTATAAATTATTTAACTTTCATATATTAACTCACCTATTGTTAAAATTTATTTTTCTAGGTACAACTTAGAAAATGATATATTACTTTTATATTAATTTTGAATACTTATTAACTAGCAAAATTATTATTTACAAGTCATTATTATGCATTATTTTAAATTTACCAACATTTAAAAAATCAAACCATTTATTTTATTTTATTTTTTTTTTTAAAGGCTATCTTATTCCTGTGCTAGTTCTGAAGCTTTATTAAAGTCAAGATGAGTTCTAGGAACAACTAGGATGAGTAATTACTCATACTGTCTAAGGATTTACAGATAAACGAATAGTACAAAAGGTATATATTTACATCTCACACAATCAGAATAGGATAACTATTGTTATAGATCATGTGGGTGATGTGATTTACATATAATGATCTAGAATTCAAAAAACTAAAAGTCTGATATGAAAGATTGAGTATTGCAAAGTAAAAAACTATAGATAAGGCTTAGGTACTGATAAGAGAACTATGTGTATTTGAAAAGTATAGAAAGTTTAGCAAAGCTTAAGGTTAGTATAGCCGATTATAAAGTAGATAGCCATTGTTAGATAGAAAAGTATAAATAGCTTACCAATGTATGCCAAAAAGGCAGAGCTGAATGTGTTAGGAAAAACAGCCCTTATTGAGAATAGAGATAAGAGTTAGTGATATACCAAAGAAACAGAACGCAATAAAAAGACACTTACCTTTGACCAAGTCAATCACCACGCCTCTGCCTTCCTTAAGTGTTCTTTATAGGAGGCATTCTCTTCTTTATGTCATTTGTGAGTATTCTTGAGAAATCTGGGTTACGCGAGGCGCTACGGATTAGCGACGGACTCGCCGGGATAACCCACAACAATATATTGTTTTTTGAAAAAAGAAAATGAATCTTTTTTTCTTAATTAATTTATGATTTAAAATTTTTGAATAATAATTTATGTAATGATTCATTTTAATTAAAAAAAAATAAATTTAAAAAAGTACAATGATGCAATTATATAATAAAGATTTTTTTGCAGAAAATATTTTTTTTGAATTATATATACTATGGATACTGTACGTCTGATTAATTAAATTTGATAAGAAATTTAGAATCAAATAAAATTATATTCAGAAGTCTAGATTTTAATTTCACACTTTTTTATTCTATTTCAGAATTCGTATTTCCAAATATAAGGTTAAAAATTTGAATAGTTTTATCCTAAGCATAAAATTGAAATGCCAAATGCCACCATTAGGAATAAACCTTGAAAAGATCGCTTTTGTCTTTTTTAAACCTACTTTTAAGGCAACTCTAATCAGCTCTTATAAGATTTATTTTAAAGTAACATGCCGACGAATTGTAAAAAGACAAAACCCAGAAATAGAATGAAAATGGGGTTTTTTTTTTTTTTTTTTTTTTTTTTTTTTTTAATGAATACATAATTTACGTTTTTCAAATAAGAAATGGACTAAAAAATTAAATAATAAAACATATAAAAAAATCGATATTTTTTGGAATGTTCACTTTTGCATAAATTGCAATATCCATTCTTGCTTTGTTTTATCCATTGTTCTGCAGTTTGCTTATTTTTTCTAACCCCTTTACCTTTTTTATGGCAATGACCAAAATAAAACTGCCCCTTGAAATTTTTATTATTGGCGGAACTCTCTAACCACTCTACCGCCTTCTTTTCGTCTTTGTCTCCACCTTTTCCTCTGAGCATAAGAGTTCCTATTCTAAATTGTGCTTCTGCATTTCCACCATCAGCAGACCTCTGGTAATATTCCATTGATTTTATAATGTCCTTGGTTACCCCATATCCCATCTCATAGCACAGCCCCACAAAGTAATATCCGAGCGGGTCATTCTTTTCAGAGGCTTTTTCGTACCAACGATATGCTGAATTTTTATTTTTTAATCCATAAGCTTTAAGAAAACCTATCAGGCAGAAATATCTTTCTCCGTTCCTTTCCAACTGGATGAGAACATTCGCTATTTGCTCATTTTTCTCTTTCATCATTCTTTTAAGATCTTTGCAAATTTCAATGTTATGGATGCCGTGAATAACTTTATTTATAAAATTATTGTTTAAATCTTCTATAAACTGCATGTTGCTCGTTGAAATAGCATGCGTTGTGGATGAGACAACTATAGTTCCCGAACTGGTAGGATGCGTTGAGGATGTTTCAGGCAGTGGGACAACTACAGTTCCCGAACTGGTAGGATGCGTTGAGGATGTTTCAGGCAGTGGGACAACTACAGTTCCTGAACTGGTAGGATGCGTTGGGGATGTTTCAGGCAGTGGGACAACTACAGTTCCCGAACTGGTAGGATGCGTTGAGGATTTCTCAGGCGATGTGACAATTATGGTCCCTGAACTAGTTGATTGCGTTGAAGATGTCTCAGGCGATGGGACATATATAATTTCCGAACTGGTAGGATGCGTTGAGGATGTCTCGGATGACGAGACAATTATCGTAGGATGCATCGAGGATGTCTCAGGCGATGGGACGATTATATTTCTATCACTAGCCGGGTCTGGCGTATTTAATTCTGACCCGGTACTTTTAATTGACTGCGCTGAAGTGTTCTCAGGTTCCTCACTATTTTTCGGATCGGATGAAACCGTTATATCATCGCTCGAAATTTCGACCGAACGTACTAAGGTAGTAGGTTCCGAAACCATTATATTTACATTACTCGTAGAATCGAGTGAGACTCGCGTTGATACTCTGTCATTCACAGATAATACATTAACTTCCTTTTGCGTCGAAGAAGTCTTGTGCTCTGAATTAATTGCATCTTCATTATTAATCGATCGCGAATTTTTGTCGTTTGCAGATGAACCAATTGTCTCAGCTAATGATGAAAAATTTTCACTTGATTTTGAGGTCAAGTATGATGTGGAGGTCTCGTCCGGTATACTAACTAGGTCTGAACTATCACGTATTACGTAGTGTCTCTGATCTGGAGATAAGGTTTCTTCGCCTTTTACTGGCATGATCCAATTCAAGTCTACATTTTTTAATCTCTCAATTACGTCTTTAATTTCCGGTCTTTGCTGTGGAAGTATGTTCCAGCATTCCGTGTAAATCTGCACGTATTGCATAGGAGTATTCTTCACTGGAGTTTCTCTTTTGTGAATATAGGCAAGTAGAGCAACCTCGCTCGGTTTTTTGTCGTGAAATGGAGGTCTCCCGCTTGAAATTTCCCAGAGTAATACGCCAACGCTAAATATATCTGAGGCTTTAGTCCGATGATAACTTTCATCAACCAAACATTGTGGTTCAATGTAAGGAAAGATCCCAAATAATCCTTTCACTACCGAAGATTTTT